ATAACGGGGATAAACAGAGCGCTGCTGCGTTCTCTTCCTACCTATTTCTAAGCAACTGTTAGCAAAAGATCAGCGTAGAGACAGAATAGACATCTTGCATTGCTCCTCAGCGTGCTGCTTTGGTTAGATTTTGTGCAGAGTTCTTAGAAAGCTCGTTGCCAGCCTGCTTAGCAGCCAGGGAGATTGGTGCCGTTGGCTGAAAGCCGTCCCCCTGGCACCAGGCTGAGCTCACACAGGGCAGGATGCGCGCTCCCCTGCTGCAGCAGCCGTCGGGACATCCTGTCTAGACCTCACGGGGAATGCTGCCTTGTACAAGGCACTGAGCAATGCAAAAAGGAGGAGGTGAGCAGAGCACAAATAACAAATTCCTACACTGGAGAGAATCGTGCTCTGAAACGGCTATGGGGCAATAGACGCAGATGCTTTGGGAAGTGGCTGTTGGTCATCTGCTGGCTTTCGAGTTCATACGCAGAAAATGCAGCTATTTGCACCCGGAGAGTAAATGAGTGCCAAAGAGCCAGAGGGCTGAGTGCAGTTTCCAAAGGTGTCTGGTCTCTGCCCGAATGCAGCACGGCATGCTGAGTGGGTACAAAATGACCCAGAAAAAAATTGAAACCCAGGGTTTTATGTTTCCTTCTGAACTTCCCCTTTCCTCTTGGGTGCAGAGGGATGCATTTTGCTTTTTTACAGAGATGCGTGCTTAGATACGCCGGTAGGAGACAGGGATTTGGCTTCCACTGTGCTGGCTGTGGTCCAGCATGAGCAATATTTGTGATCAGAGATGTCAGTAAAATCACAGTGAAAAGAGATGCTGCTGACTCAGTTGTGCTGCCGCTCATGAGCCGCGCTCTGACTCAGCCTGTGAAATTCAGGATTTTTTCATTAACCCCCAGTGGCCGAGGGGAGGCTGAGCAGGAGATGATGCACTTTGAACAGCGCTGGGATGCAGCTTGCAGGTGTGGGTGTGGGGCAGCAGAGGTTGAATGCTCCCGGGTACCCTGGGAGGGTGCACTGCTCTGACATGCAGTGATGGAACCAACCTAAGGGCCCTTAATTGTGGAGAGATCGATGAGACCACGTGTGCCCCCTCAGCGCCAGCCCATCGCCGTGTGCTTCCTCCAGCTGCTTTCTGCCTTTGCTTGCTGGGAGCTGCGTGGTGGGAGCATTGCTGCCTTGGGAACTGCTCCCACGCAGCGGCCGGGCTCCCGCTGCTCCTAATGGAGGAGCAATTTGTGGCTGTGCTGTGGAGACTGCTGGGCTCCGCGGGCTGGGAAAGGGCTGTGGAAGGGGGCTCAGAATGGCAAATTCCTTGTGACTGGGCTAAAGCACACTGCGTGGGGGCTGCACTGCCATGGGAGATCTCACAAACTGAAAGAGGTTTGTAATTACAGATCTTACTTAATAGAGAAAGGAAAATGCATCCCATACCTCCTGCTCTGTGACAGTGTCCTGGGCGTGGGCAGCACCATGCCTTGCACTCATTAAGGAGAGGGCAAAGCTGGGAGCCGGGGTTCCACAGTCCAGGTAAGAAGTCAGAGCAGAGCTCCTGTTCTTCCTGCAACCCTTGGGGATGAGTGGCAGCTACACACAGCAGAACCCCCACCTCATCCTGCTCCCTGGTGACTCCAGCTGCCCTCCATGCCCACATTTGGCTCTGCATGCTAGTGGCTGTTGAAGTGGTTTGGAGCCTGGGCAAACACTTCCTGCTCTATACCCTGAAGATCTCAATGCGACAGCAGCCCGGAGTCAGGGATGAAGCACTGGACGTTGTCCTGATGTTTGCAGAGCACTGCATTTCTCCATGCAGCTGCAGAAAGCCCACAAGCTGTCATCCTGCACCACTGCATGCACCTTGGCTTCCAACCTCATTGCACCTTCCCTTGTCAAACCTCACCCTGATCAGTGCCTGGGGCAAGGAACAGCCCATGTGCCACCAGGCACAGCCGTGCTTCCAGGTGGATGCACAGGCGCAGTGCTGCAGAGGACAGCTGTCTGCAGCAGGGCAGAATCAACATCCCAGGGTGCTGCATCCTCACGGGAACGCGTTCTCCACGTGCACGCTCAGCCCAGCACCCACACAGCACTCAGCAGGACTGTGGGGGTGTGCAGTGTGTGACTCAGGCTCAGAACGCTCTGTCACAGCGCGGCTCTGCCTTGCGCTGCTGTTGCCGACTTTCCAGCAGGGTGCTGCTCTACCTGCTGCGAGCATCGAGGGAACAAAAGCTGCCACCAAACCGAGAGAAATGCTTTTGTAATTTTAGAAATGGAACTGCTGTGCAAACAATACTCCAAAGTGCTCCACAGCAGTGGTGCGAGGTTAACGCTGCAGGACGGGGACGGCGCGCTGCGGTGCAGGGATCTGGCTCTGGCTGTGGGCAGGGCAGGAAGAAGCAGGGCACATCAGCACTGCTCCCTGTGTGTGCAGGAAGGATCTGGGGCCCTGCCTGGAGGTCGCTGGGTGCTTGCCAGATGCTTGAGGCTTGGTACAGTGTTTGCTAAAGCCAACCACGGCCAAGTAAAATAGAGGTTTTGCCATCGGTCCTTTTGCCGTGCGCTGAAATGTTCCTTGTGCTTTCCCTGCTGATCCATAGAGATGCCTTGGATGCTGGTATTGCAGTTTCTGCTTGGGCTGCCACCGTCACAGCTACCTGAAGCCTGGTGCAGCTTGTAGATTTTAATACTGAAGAATGTGAAGCATGAGAGTGGGGCTTTACAGAAGATGGAAGGATGATGCAAACTTGGGAAGAGTGTTTGACCCAGCAGAAGGCTGTGCTGCCATTCAGCGAGAGCTGGGTAGGCTGAGAGCTGGGCAGAGAGGAACCTGATGAGGTTCAACAAGAGCAAGTGCAGGGTCTTGCAGCTGGGGAGGAACAACCACATACATCAGAACAGGTTGAGGGCTGAGCTGCTGGAAAGGAGCTCTGTGGAGGGGGACCCAGGTGTCCCAGTGGCCAACAGGCGGCTGTGTGCCAGCAGTGTGCCCAGAACAGGTCAGGGGGTGAAGCAGGTGAGTTCTCCAGGACGGACATGGATTTGCTGTGCTGTCAGGATGTGCTGGTGTCAGGGAAAGCTGTTGTTTCCTGTTGTTTCCTGTTTCCACGTCCTACACTGGGAGCTGTGTGCTGCACTGCTGCCTTCCTGCAGGTCCCAGCAGCTCTGGGCAAAGGAGCCACGCTTCCTTCTGCAGTGCAGCAGAGCAGTGCCCCTTTGGATTCACAGCACTGCTCTAACATGTGGGCAAGTGTGCACAAAGAACACAAGGGTTACTTTTCAGAGAAACCCACATTTTTAGGGAAAATGCTACGTAGATAGCAGGTCTCTCTGTGCTTAGAGTGCCTTTTCCTGGGGAAAGGGTTAGAATTTCTTGGAACATGAGTGATGTTCAAGCCTGGGATGTAAAGCTCTTGCAGCACAGTGTGGGAGGCAGCTGTGGGCTCTCATTTATCCTGCTTGTGCCAGGATGGAAGGTTTGGGCAAAATACTGAGAATAGCTCACCTGCTCCCTAACCCCATCCCACAACTCCATCTCTCCCAGCAGGATCTCAGCACCCCCACGTCTCTCCTGGCAACAGCAAGGAGGGGAGAGGAGGGACTGACCATTGCTGCCGGCAGCACCGCTGTGCTCAGCCTTGCTGGAGCTGGTTATTTTTAGGGCCGGAGCTGTGCATGACCGTTGGTTGACCTTGCAGCTCTCCAGCCTGGTGCACACTGGCAGGATCTGAGCAAATCACTCCCCGGCTGTGCGCTGAATTAATGCAAACTTTGCGCCTTGCACTGCAACACCACAATGGATGGGAGAGGAGGCTCAGGGGAGGTTTGCTCTTTATAACTACTTATCGCTCTTTTTAACTACTAAAGGGAGGTTGTAGTGAGCTGGAGGTTGGCCTCTTGTGTAACTAATGATAGAACTAGAGGGAACGGCTTCAAGCTGCACCAGGGGAGATTTAGGCTGGATGTTAGGAAGTACTATTTTTCTGTAAGAGTGGTCAGGCACTGCAATGGGCTGCCCAGGGAGGTGGTGGAGTCATTGACCCTGGAGGTGTTCAAGGAACGGTTGAATTTTGTGTTGAGGGACGTGGTTTAGTGAGTACCATTGGTGACAGATGCATGGTTGAACTGGATGATCTTGAAGGTCTTTCCAAACTTTGGTGATTCTGTGATTCTGTGAGAGATCCAGTTGGAGACGCACTGGAGCACCTGCAGGACGGCTGCAGATCCTGAAGGAAACAATCTGCAGATTGTTTTCTGAAGGAGAAACTCCCCGTGCAGCCCGTGGTCAGGTCTGATGGGCAGCTTGGAACCCAGCGATGCCAGGAGTTGGACACAACGATCCCTATGGGCCCCTTCCACCTTGGGCTGCCCTGTGATTCCATGCTGCCTTTAAGCCCCGTGTCCTCACCCTTCATTTCCTCCCACCTCAATCTCAGGCCTCCTGCAACCTCCCCTACTGGTGGGGCGCCTGAGGAACCTCACAGACCACACAGAGCACTGCAGATTAATGCAAGAAATAACGATACGGCTTAAAGCAGGAAAACAAAACCCCACAGCTTGGTGCTCCAATGCATAAAGGATACAGGCAAGGAGCAGAAGCAATTCAGATTTGCTCTTCAATGTCTCCTCGCGTCCCATTTTAATGCTGAAAACCCGAGGGTTTATTTGCCTTGGGGTTCCTCCGCTCCCTCGTGGGTGCTCACGAGGTATCAACCGCGGGCCCACAGCGCGACGGAGCTCGGAAAGGGGCTCCGAGATGCCGCACGGCGGCCTTCAGCCGCTGAGGGATGGAGGGCGGGCGGGCACCGCGCGTGGCGCCTCACGGCCCTGCGGTTTCCACGGCAACAGCGCGGTGCCAAGATGGCGGCGGGGCGGGAAGTGTGCGTGAGAGGGGGGGGGAGGGGGCAAGATGGCGGCGGGGGGGGGGGCGGGGCGGAGCGCGGCGGGCGGGCTCGATGGCGGCGGAGGCTGCGCACACGTGGCCCCTCCTCCCTCCCTCCCTCGGGCTGCGGGCGCTGCGGGCGCGCACGGACCGGCACCGGCGGCGGCACCGGCGACATGGGTGTGCACGTGGAGACCATCGCCCCTGGGGATGGTGAGCCGCGCCCGGCGCTCCTTCTGTCTTTATTCCCCCCCCCCCCTTCTTTTTCTTTCTCTCTCTCTCTCCGGTGCCGCTCCGCTGACGGTGCGAGTCTCCTTCCCGCAGGGCGGACGTTCCCCAAGCGCGGCCAGACGTGCGTGGTGCATTACACGGGTGAGTGCGGGGCTGTGCGGGCGGGGCCGGGCCGGGCCGGTACCGGGAGGCGGGGCGGGATCTGCCCCGACGCCGCCGTGCGGCCTGCGGGAGCGCGGGCGGGGGATGGAGGGCCGGGCCTCCGCTGCCCCCGAGGTGCGAGCGGGGGTCGGCGCGGGGCCGGGGGTCGGGGTGGGGTCGGTGCCTCCCCGGGTTGGAGTGGGGGTCCTCGAGGTCGGCCCGGGGTGGTGGGCCGAGCCCTCCCCGCGTCCGACCCTCGGTGCGCGGCGACGGGCTGAGATTAGCCCCGCTGGGACCTTCCTACGGCCCCACCGGGGCGGGGGCGGCAGGGAAGCGGCCCGTCCCCGTGCCCCCGTTTGGTGGCTGCCGCTGAGGCTGATGGTGCGGTGCCGCGGGGTTCCCCACCCAGCAGCCCTCCTCCGACGTGCTCCGAGCCGCCCGGGTTCGCACGCAGCCAGGTGGGTGACGTTCGCACGTTGTGTGCTCGGAGCTCCGCGATGTGAGCTGACACGGCCGCACACACGCACACCCATCAGCCGCCACTGCTGCTCGCTGCAGCCCTCCAGGATGCAGCGGCTGACCCGCCTGCCCCCGCCACCGGCCGGCTCCTGCTCTCCCAGCAGCACAGGGTGAGGTGCCGGTCTGCTCAGGAGCCCCCAAAGCCCCGCTCCCGCAGCGCTGTCTGAGCTCTCCCTCCAGCCCATCTGCTTCTCCTCCCCCCGCCCCCTCTTCCCTTCCCCATCCCTTTTAATTCCCTGCTCCGGAGGAGAGGAAGCAGCTCGCTCTCTCCTGGCCACCTCCTCTGCCGGCAACCCCGTTTCCTCTGCCGGGGGAAGAACAAAGGGACGCTGGCAGGCAGTCAAGTGGCTCTTGGTGGGCCAGCCCTGCTGCTGCCAGCCCTGCTCCCACCCCAGCAAAGGGGCACGGCCGCTCCTTGCCTCATTGCAGCTGCTGGGAGGGGTCGCTGGGGCTGATTTCCTGCCCCCCGCTTTGCTTTTGGGGTGGGAGGGTGAAGGGCAGTGCAGGGACCTGCCTCTTGCCGGACCCTTCCCGGCAGCAGTGAGCCACAAGCTGGCCTTGGGAGTGGTTCTCCGATTTTTTTTGGTATTGTTTGTTGTTGTTATTGTCTCCTTTTGGCCTTTAGCCCCCTGTCCCCCCGCCTCCCATCAGACAGCTCCCTGATCTGTTCTGTTGGCAAGCAGCTGAAGTCAAAGCCCCCAGTTTACACCTGATGCCCATAGGCCCTGATCCCCTGCTTTTAGCTGTGAGCAGAGAGGGGAATTTTGCTCCCTCAAAAAAAAAAAAAAAAATACAAGAAACCATTAATTTCCCCCGGCCCTGAGGCTTGTTCATTGAATGCAGTGCAGTGACAGCAGTAACAGCGCTGTGCATTCAGTGCTGGGCTCAGCGGCTCCATCATGAGCCCCGTGTGCCATCCAGCCCCATGGCTGCAGTTTGCTCTGTGCAGAAACCCAGTGCTGGAGAAACCCAGCCCCAGTTTAGGAGCACTGAGCACAGTGAGCTCTAATGGGTGAGCTATAGATTTGCAGTCACTTGATCAAAATCCATTTTGCACCTCTTGCCCAAAGAATCCTTTCCTCCCTACGTGCTCCATGTCTGCTTGTTTAGTTAGAACAGGCATAGAGCAGGTGCTGGATGCGTGTCCCCTTGCCCCACAGCCCACATGTCCTACCCATGTGCAGCTCTTCTGCCCCACTACAGCGCTGCCCAGCACCAGCTAGAGCAGCCATGTCACCCCAGCACTGTAAGGGATGGACAGATGGACGCATGGGCAGGCAGCCCTGGTGTGGGAGCACAAGAGGGCAGTGCTTAGAGAAGAAGGTGGAGAGCATAGCATCCTCCAGGCTGCTGCTTGGGAGACATCAGTCGCTCATGCTGGGATTTTCCCAGTGGCAGCAGAGACACGCAGGGGGGATTTGGGTCCATCCTTTCATTTTCCTTTGCTCCCAGGTCGGACAGGGAAAAAATCCTCAGCAGTGCTTTGGGTGTGTCGGTGCTCCCAGTGGGAGCTGAGCCCCCAGGGGAATGGAAGAGCACTGCTGGAGAGCTGGCGCAGCGGGGTGTTGGGAAAAGGCTTTGATGTGAGGTCTGATGGAAAAGGTTCTTAAGGAAACTAAATCAAGGGTAAATTCCTCTTATGTATTCAGGACTGCTCAGAGCAATGGGAGGATGGCTTCGAAGTGCAGAAGTGCATTGATTGTGGGTAGCAGCCCCGATGCTTCATGCATCAGGCTCCTTGGGGCCATGTAGCTAGTTTGGAGCAGGGGTTTGTTCTTGTTCACCCTGCAGCACAGCTGGAACTGAGACCAATTCCTTCCCAGTGGTGAGAGCAGTGGGTGCGTGGGCTGTGGAGAACCACCTGGCCATGCAGCATTGCTCCTTGGTTGACCAGTGGCCATGCTGGGGGGCACCAGGACTGGAGCAGGTCTGATGTGACAAAGTGCAAGGAGAGATGCTGGAGAACTCTGACTTCCTGTGGCAGGAGAAGTGCAGTGACAGGCAGGACTCTTCCCCCAGCGCCTGCACATCGCTGTGCAGCTGAGCACAGCCTCAGCCGTGGCTCAGCACAGCACGGGCTCTGCCTGCTGCCTGTGCAGCACCTAGCATTGCTCTCTAAGATGCTGCCACACTCGTATGACAGCAGCCTGCGGTTGCAAGATGTTTCCTCTCCTACCGGCTGTGCAACTGCTGAGCAGTTGGGTGAGAGCTCGGTGCCAGCTCCCCTAGCACCCATCGCTGTGCTGTGCATGCAGCTGTGTCCTGTGGGACACTTGGCTCAGCAGAACCCTCAGTGGGAAGGGTTTCCAATGCCATCCCTTCCTTCAGCTGCAGAAGAGGGGTCGGCCTGCTCTGTCCCTGCATCTCAAGGGCTGGCATCTGAGGATGGATGGAGGGAGATTGGCTGCAGGGCTGCCTCTGTGTGCCTGCTTTCCGCTGTCTCTGCCCAGCAAGGGATCGCAGCCAAGTCATGCATTGCAGCCGGCGTCTCCCAGCCACTGCCTGCCAAGTGTGGCAGAGACCTGGCATAGCCCTGCTGCCAGCCCCAAATGGAGCTGGGGATGCTCTCTGGAGCCCCTCATCTCCTGTATCGTGCTGTGGTGGAATGGCAGCGTCCTGTCCTGGCAAGGCCCTGCATTCCCCTCACTTTGGTTATTCCAAGCCACCCTGGTGTCTGTATTTGTGAGTGCCAGGAGCTGCTGCGTTGGGGTGGCTGTGCTGCAGGGTCTCCCAGCTCCATGATGCCCTGCACGGAGCTCAGACAAGCTGGGATGTGCCCTGGGCTGGCAGCTGCTCCTCGCCTTCGGCTGTTTGCAGCGTCTGGGGCTCTGCCTCTAGCCAGAGGATGCTTTGCCTTACTAATAGGTTTAAGATCTTGTTATCTCCTCGCTTGGGGATGATAGGGAGGAGGAAATGGTTGCTCTTCCTTGTCCAAGGCTGGAGAAGTCTCCTGGGAGCCTTTCTGGCAGAGGAAGTTGCAGAGATGAAGATGCCATCTCAAAAGCCTCAGAGCTCTTTGTTTCACTGTTGGCATGGCTGAGCGGCACAGCATCCCATGGCTGTGTGCTGTGCATGGGGCAAGCTCTGTGTGCCAGAGTGCAGAAGGGATTTGGGGAGGGGGTGGCCTCTGGTTTCCCCATGCAGTGTGGTAGCAGCAGCACGCCACAGTTTGTTTTCATCAAAGTGAAATCGCAGAAACTGTGGCCACAGCCTCTGCCCTTGGTGAGGCAGATCTCTGCTGTGCTGTCCTGGCTTGTTGCAGCCCAGCTTGGGAGCAGCTTGTGGTGCTGCCTGCACCCACTGTCCTTCCCTCGCCCACATCCTTGCTGCTGCTGTCCCAGTGCCAGGCAGGGCTGGGAGCAGGCTCAGCACCAAGAGGTTTACCCTGGAAGGAGGAAACAAGAAAACCCCAGATTTGCTGTTCCAAAGTCCAGGGCAGCAGGGTGAGTGGCTGAGCTGGTGCTGATGCTCGGTGTTGGGGGCCCTGCAGGGGAGATTTTTGCTTTCTGTGAGATTAAATGCTTCATTCTGCTCCCCAGAAGAAATGGGACAGTGGCCCCGTTCTGTGAGCAAGCGAGCCTGGGTGCCCTGTGTTACTGCTGGCAGCACTGCTGTGCTTTGTGGTGTGATTTCAGTGTTCCATGGTGTGATGCTGAGCCCGTGGGGTGATGGTGACTGCATGGGCACTGCTCAGTGCCCTCAGTGCTTGTTGCTCTTGTGGAGATTTGTGTGTTTCCCACACCCTCCATTCATCATCTGACCACGCCTGCTGCTGTCCATGCACCTTGCTCACCGCAGCACGAGCCTGGACAGCATGTCCCATGCTCTGTGTATTCCCTTGCCCCTGGGCATTGACACTGCACCCTGCTTAGGGGAAACCACTGCTGGACAGGGCAACGAGTTTGTTTTTCACAAAGAGAATTTTCCAACCAGAAAAACAAGTTCTTGGGCTTTTGGGGGAAGTGGAGAAGAGAGAACCGTTGGCAGCAGTTGCTCTGAAATTATAAACCCTCCGGTGCTGTTCATTAACCATGGCCAGTCTGCTGCCTGTGCCCGTCGTCAGGCTCTGTGCATCGGGTGGGCAAATCCCCAGGTACGGCACGGCTCCCAGCGGGGCTGTGCTCCCAGCGACGTCGCTGCTCCTATAAGGCAGCTCCAGCAGTGAGATTCCCCAAGAAGGTCACGCAGGGAGCAAGGGAGGGACCACGGAGAAGGGAGGAAATTCCTCCTCGCTCGTGCTGGAGGGTTATATTTAGCCTTGTGGTTATTGGTGCTGCTGAGCCTGCGCTACGTGCTGTGGGACGGGGGCTGCCCTGGGCAGGTGTGATCCCTACTTGGCACTGTTGCTTTTGGGCACTGGCTCATGGCTGGGCATGGGCAAGCTGGTGGCCTAAGCTGCGTTCTGTGCACTCGAGGACAGAAACCAGCCCTGGCTCACATGCTGCTGTGCAGAATGCCGGTGCTCTGGGACAGGCGAGGTGTCCCCTGTCTGCTGGCTGCCCTCTGTTCTAGCCCACAGGAGGGCTTCTCTCTGCATGAAAACAGCACAGAGTAGGGACGTGGTGATTCTTGCAGCTGGGAGGAGCAATGCTGCCCACTCGAGGGCTGCTCCTGCCCTGCTCTTTGCAGCAGGAGGTGCTGGTTGGGAAGCCCCCCGCTGTACAGGTGTTCTCCCAGGGCAGCTGGGAAATCCCAGTGACTCAGGGCCATGTGAGCTTCTCACGGTGACCGTCACACCTGCTGGGTAACAACCTGTTCCCGTGACACGAGCCTCACTCCTCCCTCCCCTTTCTGTCCCCAGGTATGCTGGAGGATGGGAAGAAGTTTGATTCCTCCCGCGACAGGAACAAACCCTTCAAGTTCGTGATGGGCAAGCAGGAGGTGATCCGCGGCTGGGAGGAAGGAGTTGCTCAGGTGCCCGGCATCCCCCTCGTTCGTGGGGATCTGCGGTGTGGGCAGAAATCGCTGCGTGCAGCCCTTCAGTTTTCCACCCCCTCCATCATGGGAGGCGTGGGTGTGAATATCACCTTCTGCATTGCCACCTGCCAGATGGCAGGAACGGAGCAGGGCCGGGCCGAGGAACACCTACGGCACGCCGGTGACTCAGCACTGACATTTCTCTACTGAGTCACCTCTGAGCGAGCGCCGTGGGGGGCTCGGGCCCCCTGCTCCTGCTGGAGATGGCTGTGGGCACGAGGGGAGGGGGCTGGGGAGGGTGCGTGACTGCAGTGGGCTCTGTGCTGCTGGGAGCCGGCGCCCACGCTGCAGCACGGGGATGCTGCTGTCTGCAGGGGGCAGCCTGGCAGACCTAGGAATTGGTTGTGAAGGTGAAGGATATCGCCAGCTCTGCTCCCTCTGCTGCATCCCTGCTCCTTTTCCAGCCTCTGCTGCCTGCCTTTCCCTGCTGATGTCCTTCCTATCTCTCGTCGGTCCCCTCTGCTTGTGCCCAGCATTGGGGAAACAGCTCCGTGTTTCTCCCGCTGTCACTCACCCGCTGTTTGTGTGCATCTGACATCCTCATCTTCATTCCTCCTCCCAGATGAGCGTTGGTCAGAGGGCGAAGATGACCATCTCCCCAGATTACGCCTATGGCTCCACTGGCCACCCAGGGATCATCCCACCAAATGCCACTCTAATCTTCGACGTGGAGCTCATGAAATTGGAATGACCCACCCCAACACCCTGTCCTCGGGTAAGGAGGGCGAGCTGCAGGGCGCCTGCCGTTGGAGCGTGGGGGAGGCTCAAGTTCCCGTAGTCTGCCTCGGGGAGATGGGATGGAGGTGTTAGTGGCGTGGAGAACAGGTTTCTGGCTGTGGGCTGGATTTGGAGGCTTGCGGATTTGGGAATCGCTGTGGGATAGAAGCAGAGCTTGCAGCATGCTCATGCCACAGAGACAGCTCGATGCTGGCTGGATGTGCCTCAGTCCTCCCCACTGCTCGTACTATATGGGTTCTGCAGTGGACAGGGTGGTGTCCCGCTCCCCACATCAGCAGAATTTGACTTGTGCTTTGAGCAGACCGTGCAGTTGGCAATGGGGGCCGTCCCTTTGTGACCACATTCCTTCCTGCACCGGTCCCTGTGGGCTGCAGTGGGTGGCTGTGTCACCGTGCCTCTCCTCTCCCCAAACAGGTTTGGCACATGGAGGAATCCAGAATCTCAGCTTCAAGACGAGTGCACATGACTTTGTACGGAGCTTTTCCTGATAGTCCACTACACTCATTGTATAACCTTACACCTTGATTGAATGCCTTTGGTCACTAAGCTTTGCGTCTGACTCTTCCTCCTCGTATCGTGTTTTTATGTCTTTTTAAACTATACGCCGTAAACCTCAACTCTTTTTGGGTCAAGTTCTTAATCTTATTTTTGTTCCAGGTGTAGACTGCATTCTGTCAGTAGCACGCAGACGGGCTGACCTTAGATAGGAGTCGTTTGAACAAAAGGAAACCTGCTAGTTAGTTACTTGTTTCGGATCTCTATGATGTTTTAAAACCAGAAATTGCTGCTGCTGCAAAAGCCATAGCAGAGTGAGGCTGTTGAGGCTGAATGGATGTGGAGAACAAAGTAGTGTTAGGATGTGTGTAGTTACCTGGAATTGGGGTGCTGGGGAAGCAGCGTTCGTCTCCCTGCGCTGTGGGGGAAGCGCAGCATCACAGGGCCGCGCTGGGATGGGGGGATGCTCAGCCCCTGTCCTCCCCCACCTCCTCCCTTTGTTGTCTCACTTTTGGTTTTGTGGGGGTGGTTGGGCCGTCAGAGCCTCACCCACCCCCTGGAAATTCTGTCTCTTACGTTGAGCTTTCTTTGCTTTGAAACAAGAAAACAGCAGCAGACAAATTGGGAGGTGGTGGAGCTGGGGGGGGGGTGAGCTTGCAAAAAAACACCCCCATCCCTTCTGCCTACCCTGGGAAGGAAGCTTCAGACCCTGGCTGCCCCCGGGCTGAGCACAGCTGCCCGTTCTCCTGCCCCTGATGCTGGTCATCGCCGCTTGGCTGCTCTCACGCCATGCATCGCTTCCCCCGCCGCTGCCCCCAGCCCTGCCTTGTGACGTGGTAAGAGAAATTCACTTCCTTCTCCACTGCATAAAGGTATCAAGTTTTATGATTGCAATAAAAACGCTTTTTGCTGGCTTTTCTCAGCCCTGTGTGTTGGAGGTTCTTCCCTGGGTGGGGAGGGCTGGCAGCACCGTCGGGCACGTAGGGATGTGGGGCAGCGACCTGCCCGACCTGCTCTAATTGCCTTACCACAAACCCATTAAGCGCTGCCCTCGGCCTCCCCGTGGCTCAGCCTGCTGGGTCCCTCCTGCTCCGTGGGAGCTGTATCTCGATTTGTTTTATCCTCTTTTGGAGGTTGGAAAGTGCACGTCCAGCAGGCTGTATGCACTGATTGGGTCTCGTGGGACCCTAAAACTGTCCTACATCCGTTTATTTTTGGTGCCTTCGTGATCTGGTGCTGATGCCTCTGTTCAGCAGTGCCTTTGCTCCTTTGCAGCCTTTCCTCCCCAGGGCTGGCCGTGGCTGCACTGTGGTTTCTCACCTGGATGTCAGAGCTCACAGCTGTGACTTCTGGTCTTTCCTGCTGACGTTTGCAGGCTGGGTGCTGAGGGGATGTGTGTGGCTGGCAATGTGGGTGCTGCTCTTGCTGGCTGTGTTGGGGAGCCCGGTTTAGCACCCAGCTGTAGGGTGTGGGTTGTACAGTAGCATTAAAGGCTCAAGGTCCCCAGCCGTGCTGCTCAGATCCCCGTGCCAACACCTGAGTTCTTTGCAAACAGCCTTTGCATCATTGGCTGCAATCAATAACATGTCTGCAGTAAATCCCCGTGCCGCAGCGGGTTCAAAGTTTGTGTTTAGAGAGAAGTGTTACGAGGCCTTTGAGAGTGAGCAGTGCTGTGGGCTGAGCTCCCTACCCTGTGCTCCTGAGGCTGGGACCAGCAGCACCTGGTTTGGGAACGCTGTATGTGTGCTGCTCTGGTGCTTCGGGCTGGAAGGAGCTGCAGTGAGGTGATCCCTGGGCTGGGGGTAGTGCTGCAGGCCTCCAGGCTCAGGTCAATGCTCCAGGACCCTCAGCTTGGCAACATGAGGAGGAAGGCAGGGAGCTGCCCTGCCCTTTGCAGCGACTGCTCCTAGGCAGAATTTCCCCTTCAGCTTGGGTTTCTCTTCCTGCAATGCCTTCTGCTTTAATTATTAACCAGTGTCAGGCTGTGCCATGGCTTTGTGGCCAGAGATAAAGACTGGAAAGCAAAAAGACCGGGGGGACCTGGGGCTGCACCTCCTGCCCTGGGGGGCAGACGACCCAGTGTCCCTTTCCTGTCTGTCTGTCTGCAGGGCTCTGCAGCAGCTTCTTTGAATGGTGGCATTGTGCTGCAAATCATCACCGAGGGTTGGTGTATTTGTGTGCACACCCGTGTGCCTGAGCAAGGTCTGCAGTTGTGCTCCTGGCTGCATGTGTGTGCAGTGTGTGTGTGCAGTGTGTGTGTGCAGTGTGTGTGTGCACGGCTGTAGGCCCTGTGTCTGCAGTGGGCAGCAAAGTCCCAGTGCTCTCTGTGTTCTCTGCACCTGAGCCCTCCCAACTCCATTTCCACGAGGCTAACACAGCCCTGCTGGCACAGGTGCCATCCTTCTAGGGCAGACCTGGTGCTCACTCTCAGCTGTGCTTATCACATGTCTGTTGCTCCCATTGCATTCCGGGCACCGCAGGCTAAAAATAATGCTGGTAAAATAGATTGCTTCCTGCTGGCACACAAAGCTGAGCCATGCCCTGCATCAGGGCTGGCTCTGTGCCACGGGCACCCACAGGCCCTGCGTGTGTGTGGGGACATGGGGTCCGATGGCATCACACAGGTTGGGATGCGTGGCTCAGTGCTGGCTTGACGCCCTCCGCCCGCAGCCCTGACTCAGTTTTCCCACGGGGCCATCACGAATGGATGCGGGATGTGGCAACGTCAGCCCCACACAGGGAGGTGTCACAGGGGACAGACACCCAACACGGGGCTGAGGGCACCCGCTGCGCCCACCCTGTGCTGGGCAAAGGGCTGTGGTGGCTTCTGGTTGGGGGTTACGATGACACTGAGCAGTGTGATGGTGGCACCAGGGGATTGTGTGGGTGGGAAGGGTGGAGGCCACCCTGGAAATGCACGACCCCATCTCTGTGGCTCCTAGGATGCTTGGAGTCATGGAAAGCAGTCCCCATCTCCATGTGTGTCCCTATCCATGTCCCTGTCTCTATCAGTGACCCCATCCATGTCCCCATCCCTGCTGCTGTCTGCTCCTCCCTGGGGCCGGCCCAGCTGCTTTGCCTTCACCTTCCTCCCCCATGCCCCACCTGGCACAGGGAGGTGGCAGTCAGCTGAGGCCACTGGGCTCCTCCCCGGGGATGGGCACTGCTATAAAAGCACGGAACAGGTGAAGGGCAGCGCACAGGAGCCGGAAATCTGCAGGTGAGTCTGGAGGGAGTTGGGCTGGGGGGTGAGACTGGGTTTGTGGGATCATCCCCCCCCCCCACCTCAGGATGCTGCTACCAGGCAAGATCCTGCCTGGCTCCAGTGGTGCTTGGAGCAGAGGTTGGAGACGGGCGCTGATGTTTGGGTGATGTTTTTTGGGGCACAGAGGTGTGCAGGGCATGGGGTGGAGGGAGCTGGTGGGGTGCTGAGAACAGCAAGAAGTAGTGATGGAGGGCTTTTGTCCACGGGGCTGTCGCCCATGGGGGCATCGCCCGGCTGAGTTTGGGGAAACTAAAAGAGCCTCCGTGGGCTGCCTGGTGTAGCCAGCACATCACACCTGGAGCAGGGTGCTTGCTGGGATGCTCATGCTCATGCTCGTGCCCCTCACGTGCCCCAGCTGCTGGGATGTGACAGAGGCAGTGGCCCCGATGATGCAGTCCTGAGTCATGCCCCAGGCTGCAGGTGATGGCTGGGACACAGAGATAGAAGTAGAGCGAGCCCAATCCTGTGGGTCCCAGAGGGGTGTTTGTGGCACTGCACCCAGCCCTAAAAAGCCCCAATCCTGTCCTCATCCCATCCCCATCCCATCCCCAGGCTCAGCACCAGCGATGGCAACGCTCTACCCCTCACTGGAGGACATGAAGGGCCACCAGGTCCTGCAGGTCAGTGTCTGTTCATCTGCACTATGGGGGTGATCAGCACCCATTGGGTGCTCATGGTGAGCCCAGGACAGGGGCTGTGCCTCGAGCAAACCCCATCTCCCCCAGGCGCAGGTAGCTGCTGGGATTGGCACCCCTGCCACCACGGTGCTCACTGAGAAGCCAAACCTCCTGGAGAAGCCGAAGGTCACCTCTAGCATCGGTAATGTGGGGTGTGGTGCCAAGGGGCTGTTTGGGGTTGGGGTATGGAGGTGCCCACATGGTGGGGGCTCAGCTGAAGACCCCAGCAACTCGGTTTGTGGGTAGGGGATGAGGTGTGGGGGTTTCTTGGCTCATCCCATGGGTCTCTCCGTGTCCACAGTGCCCTCAGCACCACCTGCACTGTACCCCAACCTGGCCGAGCTGGAGGATTACATGGGGCTGGCGCTCTCCAGCGAAGAGATCCAGAAAAACCTCTTCCCAGATAACAGCACTGTAGGTTCAGGGCGGTGGGTCCCCTCCCGTAGCCGCATCCTGCCTGGGGAAGGGACGCAGCGTCCCTCGAGGGCTGATGTGTGTCCCCATGTCCCTGCTTATCCCCGGCCCCATTGCAGGCGCTGACTCCCGTCGGGTCTCTGCCGGGACAGCTGGTTGCCCCACTGAGTGGGAACAATGCGGGGCTGCGGCGGGCTGAGATCAAACCAGGTGTGCGAGAGATCCACCTCTGCAAGGACGAGCGGGGCAAGACGGGGCTGCAGCTGAAAAGCATCGACCAGGTAGGGGTTGGGCTGGCGGGGGGCTGCGGTGCTCCACTGCACGGCGTGGCAGGGCACGGTGCATCACTGCACGGCAGTGCATGGCACAAAGCTCAGCACTGCCACCTGGTCCCGGTGGCGGCCCCGCGCCATCGCTCCCCTCGCTGTGTCCACAGGGCATCTTCGTGCAGCTGGTGAAGGCCAACTCTCCGGCGGCGCTGGTGGGGCTGCGCTTTGGTGACCAGATCCTGCAGATCGATGGCAAGAACTGTGCAGGTTGGAGCAGCGACAAGGCGCATCGGGCTCTGAAGAAGGCATCCCCGGAGAAGATTGTCATGGTGGTGAGGGACAGGTGAGAGATGTCTGGTGGATGGGCGTGCAGTGCTGCTGTGTGTAAGGCTGATGCTGACCCCGCTGTCCCTACAGACCGTTCCAGCGCACTGTCACCATGCACAAGGACAGCAATGGGCATGTGGGTGTCGTGCTGAAGAAGGGGAAAATCGTGTCGCTGGCCAAGGACAGCTCTGCTGCCCGCAATGGGCTCCTGACACACCACTACATCTGCGAGGTCAATGGTCAGAACGTCATCGGCATGAAGGTATGGACACGGCTGTGTACCCGCTGCTCTCCCCATGGCACAGCTGCCTGGAGTGAGGGCACCCCTGCAGTTGGTACGGGGCTTTTGGGTGCAGATTGTGGACTTGGAGCTGCTGCTGCCCTGGGAGGTGTGGGGATTCCCACATTGCCCTGGATGTGAGCTGGGGATTTGTCATGGCGTTTCATAATGTTTGCCCCTCCCTCCACAGGACAAACAGCTGATGGAGGTGCTGGCGGGCGCAGGGAATATCATCACTCTGACCATCATCCCTGCTGTCATCTATGAGCACATGGTGAAACGGTGAGATCTGTGCTCTCCCTATTCCCCATCTCCTATCACCCCCAGCCCCACAGTGCCCCCAGGGGACCCTGGGGCTCCCCCTGACCCCTTCTCCATATGCAGGCTGTCATCGGGACAGATGAAGTCATCCATGGACCACTCCATCCCCGACCTCTGATGCCATCCCTGCTGCTCTAACACCTGGGGGCAGACGCCAATGTGGGCACCCCCATGGCCAAGCCTGGAAGAGGGGAGAGAACTCAAAGGAAATGCTGGAGATACCCCTTCAGCCCCCCCAAAAAGAACCCAGGGGAGCTACTGGCGCGACACCATCCCATGTCCCCCAGCTCTCAGCACACAGACCAGGGTTGGGAGATGTGCTCCTGCCCCCAGTGCCTCTCCTTGTCCCCCCCGTGCCCTCCATATCCACCCCCAGGGCAGACGCCAAAGGCCGTCTCCAGCCAAGCAGACACAGACCCAGCGACGTTTATTACATCCACCGCAGTACAGGACAGCGGAAACGAGAGAAGAGAGGGGGGAGAGGTTTACAGCTTTGTCAGGTGTTTTTTTCTTTTTTTTTTTTTTTTTCTTTTTTTTTCCACTTCTGTATTTAAAAAATATATTATATAGATTTGTCTTTCAAATATAACGTTACATTTATTTCTTGGCTAAGCTTTGGATAGTCGGACAGACGCGTACACGGATCCACGAATACATTGCACGAGAGGTTATAGCCCAGGGCTGCTCGCTCCGACCGCTGCTCCCCAAACACTGCATGCAGTGCCAGCCCCCACCCCATGGATATGGGGGGCTGGGAGGGCACAGCGTCCTGTGGTGAGGGGGGGGGACACCGTTGCTTCAAGTCACAAGGAAGCTGCAGACATTCGCGGTGGGGGCCAGGACCCCTCGGTACACCCGGGGGCTGCCCCTGCTGACCAATCTTTGCTGTCTTTGCTTTTCCAATAAAATAAATAAATACCCTCCCCCCCTCCCCCCAAAAAAAAGGCATTTTGCAGTAGTTTCCCCCCCCAACCCCTCCTGGGAAAATAGGGTTTGGGTGGGGAGGGGTGGACAAGGATGCACCCAAACCAAGAGGGTGCCCGGTCCCACTCCACAGCAGCCAGACCCGGTTCCAGGGCCCCAACTTTACCGAAAGGAAATGAAAGTGAATATAGTGCAAAGCAAATGAATGAACGGAATGGACGGCGCTGCGGGCGGCTCAGCCTTGCTCAGGTGTGAGGTATATCCAATTCCATCCCATTTCCACCCTCCATGTCCAGGGGGTTCCCTCCGTCCTCTTCCACGTCCCATTGTGCAATGCTGCACCCAGAGCAAGGAGTCTGCCTGGGGAGGGGGCCGGGCTGCACCCCATCGCAGCCCCCACCCCGGTGCTCAGTGCCTCCTCGCTCTCTCCCACTGCAGCGACGTCCCCGGGTCCGTGCGAGGACAGCCGAAAAGAAAGCAAAGTGCCACGCGGTGACACCGCAGGATGACATCCCCAGCACCGCAGAGCTGCTTGCAGGGACGGGGCCTGGCCACCCCTCGTATCACCGCGTCGAGCCCTCGGCATCCTTGGGGACAAAGGCTCAGGGCAGCACACCCACCCCGTGCCCCTTCTGCCCCCACCCCAAGGGGCTTTACGAGGAGCAGAGCAGACGGAGCGCCACGTCCCCCAGCGCTGGGCTCCACAATCAGCCGTCGGCTCCGTGGGGTGGGCTGGGGGGCGGGACGGGGCTGCGGGGGGTCAGGGTTGCGCTCCGCCCCCGGGGTTGGGGCTGCTGACGGCGCGACAGCCCATCCTGCGGATGGAGTGCAGGGCCACGGTGCAGCAGCCGCGCAGCAGCGAGCTGATGTTGTAGATGGGTTGGCCCTGGCGGCGCTGCGAGCGGCACAACCACGCCACCGTGGGCACAGCCGGCACCACCACGGCCAGCAGATCCACGATGAAGTGGCGGCTCCAATAGCTCTTGGATGGAGCGCCGTCGCAGCCCGGCTCCGCTGTCGCATCCTCCTCGGGCGCGCAGGCGATGGCCACCGAAGGGCCGGCGCTGGGGGGCTGCTGCACGGTGGGGTTGTGGGGCACCTCCCCGTCCTCGGGCTCCAGGTCCATAACGCCGGCGGGGTTCGGCATCTCGCAGCCCGGCGCCACGTCTTCCATCTCGGACACCCAAACCGAGGTGGGGCTGCCCAAGCTGCACGCTTGGGATTTCATCACCTTCTCCAGGAGGGTGTCCAGGTCGGGCTGGCAGTGCGCAAAGTCCGTCTGGATGGCGCGCTCCTGCATGCAGCTGGCCTGCACGCCCGCCTCTACGCCGCCCCGCAGCCCCAGCAGCTTCTCGTAGGTGGAGCTGGGCGGCAGCCGCCCGCAGGGCTCCCCCCCTTCTAACAAGTCCGGGCGGCCGGGAGCTTCGTCCCCCCCAGCAAAGCCGCTGTCGGCCCCTTCGTCCACCGAAATGGTCTGCGATCCGCCCACGGTGCGCTCGCCGCCCGCCTGGTCGCTCAGCTTGGTGTAGGTGGAGCTGCGGGTGAGGGATCTCGCCGGGGATCCCCCCGCCGACTCAGCAGCCCCCTCCTCCTTCAGCCCCGCGCCGTTCTGTGCCACTTCCATGCTGTGCAGCAGCGTCTCCAGCTTCTTGTTCTGGATGTTGATGTCGACGAAGTACTTCTGCAGCCCCTTGTCCTTCTCCAGCAGGTTGTTCTTCACCGTGTCGATCACCTGCTTCAGCTGCTTGATCTCCTTGCGGGCCTCCTTCAGCGCCAGCTGGGCCTCCACGCGGTGGCACTCCTCCTCGATCCAGTCCTCCTGCATCCGCGACAGCTGCGTCTTCAGGTCCTCGATCTCGGCGTCCCTGCAATGAGATGCAGGCGGGCACACGGCGTCACCACGGGTCAGGAGCAGGATGCCCCGCGGTTCCCACGGTGGTTCAGAGCAGTGATTTAGGGTAAAAACACTCAGAAAAAAAAAAAAAACAAACATGTTTGGGATGTAGGGCTGTGTCCAGGTATCCAGGAACCCCAGCAGTGATGCCCAGCCAGCTCCCAAACGCAGATGTGGCACATAGGGTCATAGTTTGGTGGGCATGGTGGGGATGGGTTGGTGGTTGGACCCAATGACCTTGGAGGTCTTTTCCAATCTGAATGACTCTACACAGGCATGGTGGGGATGGGCTGGCCGTTGGATCTGATGATCTTAGAGTTCTTTTTCAGGTTTGATGGCTCTATGATCACAGGGAAGAAGAGGAGGCTTAGGGAGAACTCATTGCTCCCTACAGCTCCTGAAAGGAGGTTGGAGCAAGGTGGGCTCAGCCTCTGCTCCCAGGTAACAGAGATTACATGGGGGGGGAGGGGAGGTGGTGGCCTCATATTGCAGGGGATGGTCAGGTTGGGTGGTAGGAGAAATTTCTCCTCCGAAAGAGTGGTGATGCAGTGGCAGAGGCTGCCCAGGGGATGGTGGGCTCACCGGATGGTGCTCCAGATCCGTGAAGATGTGGCACTGAGGGACGCGGCCAGTGGGCACGGTGGGGTTGGGCTTGGGGATCTTGGAGCTCTTTTCCAAGCTCAATGACTGTGATTGTAAGGGCTGTGCGGGGACATCGGCTGCCCATGGTGGCTGGCTGGCAGCTGGCAGGGCGGTGAGGACGTGCCTAAGCCCCCAGAGGAGCAGATGGAGCTCAGCCACCGCGTGATGCTGACATTCAGAAAAACCGTGGGAGAGAAAAACCAGCCACGAAAGAAAGAGCACAGTCAGCCCCGGTGAGCACGCCAGGCTCTGCAGCCCCGCCAGCTGCTCCGTGCTGTGGCATTCAGTGAATTCAGTGAATTCAGATTCGAGGAAAATTACAAAGAGAGAGCCAGGTGCTTGCAAGGAGCCCCACAACCCCACACCTACCTGTCCTGCAGCCGCTCCTGCGTGTCCTTCAGGCGGGCCTTCAGGTGCCGGATGCAAACCTCCTTCTGCTGCAGTGGGGTCAGGTACTGCTCTGGTGTGGGTGGTTTGATGCCATGGTTGTCACTGCACAGGTTGTATTTGGCCGAGCGCCTGCGGGGACACGGCTGTCACCCAGCTGCTGGCCCAGGGCTGTGCTCCCCACGGAGATGTCACACGCACATTGCCCACAGCAATCTCTTAGCAAATGTACCATGAGCATGGAGGCCCCAGACTGGGGTCAGTCCCACCAGAGGTGTGCAGTGGGATAGGCTATGGTGAAGCAGGTCTGAGCTGCCCACACATCCCAGACTGCAGCAGCAGTTCTGGACCCTCCCTGTGTTGCCACCAGCACAGCTGAGATTGATGGATGCCTTTGGGCATCAGCCCGGTGCAGCTCAGCAAGCATGGGGTGGAGATGCTTGGGGAGAGGGGAGGAGAAAGGCTGCTGCTCTATGGCTGCATGCTCAGCTAGGGAGCAGGCACAGAGCTGTGCACAGCTCCAGATGCTCGTGTCTTGCAGCAGGCTGCACCGAGACCCCGCACATCACAGTGGGGTGGTCTGAACCCCCTGTGCATTGCAGCAGAGCAAAGTCCCCGTGCACTGCTGTGGCACAGCTCAAAGCTGCCAGGCATCATGCAGGCAGATCCATAGTTCTGAGCAGAGAGAAACAATGTGTTGGGAGAAGCCAGGTAGGATGGTGGTCATCCTACCCCATCCCCGCTCTGTTTGCTGGCTGATCCCTTCATTTCCTCCCAGATGCAAAGCCACCTCCAGAGCTGGAACGCAGTTGGTGGGGTCAGTCCCAACCAAGGGATAAGGGATGAGCCTCACCGCCCAGAGCAATGTGTGAGCAGCCCCAAATACAGTTCTGCTGCACCTTCTGCCCCAAAGGCAGCGTTCCTGGGGAGCAGCGAGCAGAGGGAGGAACGCATGCAGCGCACAAGCCACAGCCAGGGCAGGACAGGAGGGATGAGCACGGAGCTGGCAGGAGGGTGACAACGGGGAGAAGACATAATGACAGCAGTAGAGGAGCTGTGGGGATGGCGGGGGCTCAGCAGCCCCTCTGGCAGCTCCGAGCACAGCAGCACGGCCTCCTCCTGCAGCCCCTGTGCTCCTGCCCCATGGCACGTGGGCACTGTGGGCACCGGGGCCGGCACTGCTCCCCCTGCCCGGGGAACCCCCAGATGGGGACAGTGCCCACGGGGCTGCGGGCGAGGGGTTACCTTGGGGTGGGGCTGCTGTCGCTGCCCTTGTAGGAGCCAGAATTGCTGCTGCTGCTCAGCGAGGAGGTGCCGTAGGTGTCCCTCCCGGGGGGCGAGGGGCGCCTGGAGGCAGGGAGAAGAGGCTGTGTCTCAGGCCGAGTGGCTGAGGGCGCTGACGACTTAAAGAAGGAGGCAAAACCACTCCGTCCATAAAGCCCGCGACTGCCAACCACCGCACCGAGAACACACAAGACAAAAGGACAGAACAAACAGCAGGGATCAAAATGGCACGGAGACGGGTGTGGAGGTGGGGGTAGGGGAGCCCAAACCCACCCGCTCCATCCCATGGGTACCCGCATGGCATCCCCGTGCCCAGGGACCAGGAGCCCCTAGGAGAGGGTCCTGGAAGTGGGCTGGGGTGGACAGCACCCACACATGGGCATATCTGCCCCTTCTCTGCTGGTGATGGCTGCGGTCAGGAAGTAAAAAAGTGCAGCCCAGGGTATGGAGACACTCAGAGGGGAATAAATGCTTCTTCCCTCTCTTTTTCCCTATTGTTTGCTATTGCTACAGCTCAAGAGAGCCCTTCCAAGAGCCAATTCCCCTCCCAGCATTGCTGCCAATCCTAGGACTGTGGGGGGGGGGAAGAGAAGGGGACATCCACCAACACCACCTTCGGTGGACGGGACCAAGAGTGGATCCTGGGGCGAAGGAACAGATCCTGGCAGCATGGAGTGGACCCCAGGACTGCAAGATTGGTGCCGAGTGCGGCAGACACATACAGAGACGGACGGGTGCTGTGCTGGGGGTGCTCCATGCGGGGTCGGGGAGCTGTGGGCAGCATCCAGCGACATGCAACGCCCCGAATCCTCAAAGCTGCATCCCTGGGCTGCTCCCTGCCCTGCTGTGGCCCTGGCTGGTCACCGCTGCTGCTCCCTGTGCGTATTCACCTTCGTGATCCGGTGGATGAGCGTCTGCTCCCCGGCAGAGACATGGCCGTGGTGCCGCGGGTCCTGGGCACAGGGGAACTGCAGAGGAAAAGCAACAGAGAGAGGAGGTCAAAAGGGGAAATCCAGCCGGGACAGAGCCCACCATCAGCTGTGTGAGGTGTCGATGCAGTCCTTGGGTTACCTTTATGGCACTGCGCCGTGATCCCATGGCCCAGCAGCATCACAGTGCTGTGCCCAGAGTTGAGTCTTTCCTCCCTTCATAAGGCAAAGCACAACCAACACCTGCACGTACATTCCTAAGGCAGAGACACCCATTCCTGCCCCCTCACTGCATCCTGCTCCATACTTCATTAATTAAACCCGAATTGCCCATTCATCAGTGACATCAGGTGAGGAAGCACAGATCCCTGCGTGATGCGGCAGCAGCAGCAGCTGCTAATCCCATGAGAAGCACAGATCCCGTCTGCCTGAAAATAAATAGGGCAGATCCCGAGGTCTGCAGCTCCAGCAGGCAGCAGCTCTGGGCCCACGTGGGGATGGGAACTGCTGCAGAGGAGGATCACTACAGAGAGCATCAGTTCTGCACATCCAGGGCACTGAGCAGTGCTGCTGCTGCCCTATGGCATTCACAGCATGCTGTGAACAGCTGGGCACTGCATGCCTTCACCCCCCCCTTCCACCCCCCATCCTGGTACATTCCAACTGCATCTGTCCCAGATCTCGGCAGCTCCAGCCCAGAGCAGCTCCAGCAATGGGCCCTCTGATAATCGATGGGTTGGGACTGCTGAGTGCTGCCTGGGCTGCGGGCCAGGGCAGGGAGAGAAGCGGGCTGAGAGGGGAGGAGGGAACGCTGCCGGCCCACGCCTGATGGAGCCTTTTGTGTTGGAAATCTCAGATTGTCTCCCCCAAGGATAACTTCCATCCAATGCTCAGAGTGCTCTCCTTTCTCCTGGGTTCACACCTGCCTGTATTCCAGCACAGGGCACCAACGAGACAGAATGAACCGGAGCAGCCCTATGCCCTACGCAGAAAGTTCCAGTCCCTGGGCTCGGGGGTCACAGGGATGGGGGGAAGCCCTTGGAAGGGACAGCGGTGCTCTGTGCTGCAGGATCAGAGCTCCCGGATCAGCTGCCCGCGGCCGCGGGGCTTTGCAAATGCAGCAGCATGAATCAGCATCCAGCAGAGCCCGGCCCCCGGCAGCGCATGCCGCAGCACAGCCCGGCCCCGTGCATCGCCACCGTGCTGCCTTCGGGCCGAGCTTTGCGGGATTTGCAGCCACAGAGGTGAACTCCTCGCCCTCTCACCGCCCCGAGTGCTGCAAGCAATCCGTGCCTGCCCCGCAGCGCCCGCCTGCATCCTGCTCTTCCCATTGCCAGCTCCCGTTCCCACTCCTGCCTTTCCCGTTCCCCGTGGGCACACAGCAAAGCTCAGCTCAGGAGGGAGCCCTCGGGTGCACACAAACCCAGTGCACGTTCTCCCTGCTCAGGCTGCTGGGTGCCCTCCTGCGCCGCACCGCCTTGGTTCCCATTGCTGGCAATAAAGCAGTGCTCTCTTTGTTCTCAGGAAATCCAGAGGCTGCTTCCATCTCCCCAAAAGCCACACCGTGCCCACGGGCTGCCAGGACGGACAGGTCTGGCAGACAGACAGACAGACCTGCACATCCTTCCCACGCACGCTGCACACTTTGCCTCCGAGGGAGGAGGTAATTGCTTATTTGCACTCGCAATTAACGCCGTCATGTGAACCCGGATGAGCAGCTACAGAACCTCACCATGAAGGAAAGGGGAGGTGATCTGATCACATCTGAAACGCAACAGAGGGAAACGCAGCACAGCTCTCTGCTTTCTGCACGCTCAGTGCCTGCCGGCAGCTCTGCTGCAGAACCCAACAGGGATTCGGGATGGCAATGGCAAAGGGATGGAGGTGTCACACTGCTGGTGGGACCCACAGCCTGGCCTGAGCTGAAATGCTGAGCTGCAGCCTGGGTGGGAGCTGCCCAGCATGGCAGGCAGCCCACAGCAGCAGCTCCGGCTGCTCATCCATTAGGCATTAGGAAAAACACACAGAGAGGAAATGGAAAGTGTCCAAAGATAAATGAGAGGGTCCCCGAGCACGCTGTGTGCTCTCCAGCCAGGAAGACAATGGCAGGCATGGGGAGAGCTGAGGAGGAATCAGCAGCAGGTCACTGGAACAGGAGAAAATGCCCAATAAACATGGCTTCTGGAAGGGGTCAAAGCAAAGCTGCAAGGATGGGCAGGAAGAAGAAATCCCGTAAAAATATTGGGTGGGAGGCAACCCAAGCTGAGTATGGCACAGCAGGAAAACACCAAGAACCTTAAAAATGGACGTCAGGAGCCAGGGCAGCAGGAGGGGAATCAGATCTGGAGCACCCGAGCGGCTCCTGCAGGATCCATCCACTGCCATGACCCCAATTGGGTGCTGATTTCCTCTGCTTTGCTTTCATCTTTTTCTGCAAGATGAGGGATGGGAGGAAAGGCACCAGGAGCGATGCTGGGGGGTTTGGGGAGCGCTAGTGTCCAGAGGAACCAGAGCTGTACCTGTGCCAAACCCAGCCTCGGGGAACGGTGGGATGGAGCTGCCCATCGCAAGCTCCAGTGCTGTCTCCTCACACCAACCAACAGCAAAATCCCCCACGGAGCTCCCAGCACGACCCTGCTCCTAGGACACAGCACCCCGCGACCCCCACCAACCCTCCATCCTCACCCAGTGCTTTCAGCCGTCTGGTAGCGCTCTGTATCTGCTGCGCTCAGCAGCGGGCAGCGCTGCGCTCCGTGCTGACGGTGCACGGGCAGCACAGTGCCAGGCACAGCTCCCCCCGGGGACCACGCAATGGAACGGAGCGAAGCGAGGAGGGTGGGAGGAGCACCCAGAGCTCAGCCCCGTGCTGCAGGGAAGGGCTTCTGCCCATCAAGGTGAGCGCTCAGCCTTGGTTCTGGAGTCGGTGCTTCGCAGGGAAACACATCAAGATGGAACAGCGCGGCTCCTCCAGGCTGTGCCAGGGATGGACACCATTCGGGCTGGACTGTCATTGCAGCAGGCAATGGACCCTGCTGACCAACACCTCTGAAGACCCTCAGCTCCTTCCCCCGGGGTTTTGCTTCTGCACATTCCTGAGATACCCCACTTTCCCCATTCCCGCAGGACCGGCCATGCCCTGCCCCACCAGCTCATCCTGCCCTCTCATGGAGCACACAGAAGCAGACAGGCTCCTCACTAACCCGGCTGCTGCTGCAGCCTCCTGCCCCTGTGCTGCCTTCCCCATCCGCTGCTTCTTTTGTTGGGGTTCCCATGGCTGCCCAGTCCCAAACCCCACGGGATGCTCTGGGATGCCCCCAGCCCACTTGCCATTCCCATTCCCACAGCTGCTCCTGGCTATCTGGGACAGCCACCAGGTGTACCTCCACGTGGTGCCTCTGCCACGTGTCACACACAGCCCCAAACAGCAGCAGATGTGACCCTACATGGTGTTGGACCACAGCTGGATCCATCCCATGAGCAGCACCAGCCCCTCAGTGTTCCAGCAATGGGATGCTCTGGGGCTGGCACACCTCACCAGACCCCATTCAAAGCCACCTAAATCCCACACCTCCTCATTTCCTTTGCCACGTTCTGCACAGGAATGCAGCTGGCACCACTGTGCCACGGTGGCCCCGAGGAGCCCCAGCACTGGGCCCAGAGTGACCCCCAGGGCCACGTCAGCCCCCCAAGGACATCCTCAACGAATGCAGAGAACAAAAAGGGGCGGCAGATCACAGCTCCACTTCCACAAGGAACAAACCCGCCTTGGAGGAGCCCTCACTGCCTTTTTTTTTTGTGCCGACTTCGCTTTCCCTTCACGCTAAAAATAAAGGAAGTGCAAAACAACAGCAAACAGCCACAGACTCGATTTGGGATGGAACGCTGCGGCCCAGAAAACAGCAACAGTGCCAGCATCAGGGCTGGGATGGAAGGGACTGGGATGTAGCTGGATGGATGTGGGGCCAACGCAGAGGTGGATGGACGCACAGCCTCGGTCTGCAGACAGACAGACAGACAGACAGACAGACACTGCTTGAGGTCACATCAGAGCAGAGCACTCGGGGCATGAGCAGAGACACAACGCGCAGAGCGTTTACTCAGCACCACCAGAAAAATCAATCCTGCTCCGAGCTGTTCTCTCACAGAGGGTTTTTTCCTTTCATTCTCCCTTGTTTTGTAACAGAACACTGAGCTGACACCCGGAGTTTGCAGGAAAATAGAGACCATTGGATGCCACGCTCTGCAGCTCATCCCTCCCCCGAGGAGAGCATCGTGACAAACCCTGCGGCAGTCACAGCAAGAGCAGCACTGCGACCCAGACCTGATGGTCACAGCTGGGGGTGCCCAGTGCTCCCACCACCCCATGCAGCCATACAGAAGGGAGAGGAAAGCTCTCTTTCAGGGCAGGAAGGCAGAGATGCAGACGATGGATTCATCCTCCAGCATAACAGCCACCCCTCCCTCCCAGCACACACGCAGCCGCAGCGTGGCAGTGGTAAGGGCTGCCCTCACCCCCACCCACCCCAAATAGGGTCCCTGTGCTGCTGCACCGTCCCACATCTCCTGTCTTGACCTGCTGCGACGCTCCCCACTGTGGGCACACATCTGCAAGCATTGCCTTTCCTGACCCCAAGCAGAGACCCCGAAGCCCTGCAGATGTCATCTTTGCTTTCCTGCACAAGGTCACAACACAGCCCATGCGTTACCCAGAGCAAAGTGGGAGCACTGCTGTTTTACAGGCACACCCAATGCATGGCAGCGGGTTTGGATGTGACAAGCAGGCAGCACTGACCTTGCAGGGAAAAGAGGAAAGGAGCGCACAGCTCATCAATCTGCTCATGTGCTTTCTATCCCTTTGGAGATGGAGCTTTAAGCCATTAAGTAATCAAATCTCAATCGCACAGCAGCTCCAGCTCCTGCAGTGCCCCATAGTGCCGGGAGGCACAACTGGGCTCTGCATGGAGCAGGTGCGGGTCTGGGGCATGCAAGGAGGGTTTGGAGCATGCAAGGAGGGTGTGTCCAGTGCATGTGGTGTGGGGTTGGAGCACAGACGATGGGGCTGATGGGGTTTTGGTGCATGGAGGGTGGGTTTGGTGCATGCAGTGGGGTTCTGGTGCATGCCATATGGGTACAATGCATCGAGGTGGGTCTGCTACACAGGGTAAGGGTGCACTGCAAGGCCAGCGACCACAATTCATGCGATTCCCACTGCAGGGACCCAGTGCACACAATAGGGCATCAGTGCCTGTGTTGCAGCTCTGTGGGCACAGTGCAGGCGTGTGCAATGCAGGGCTGCTGCATGCAGTGCAGGGCTGGAGCACGCATGACGTGTGTCCGGTGTGTGCCATGGGCTGTGCTGCAGGCCTGGTGCTCTGCCCTCCCTGAGCACCCCCTCTCTGCCCTTCGACCCCCCCGGCACACGCAGCTCCACCCCGTCTTCCAACCCCCCAGATCGGACCCCCGGTGCCCCCTTCCTACTCACCTGCGCGGGGCCCGCGGCTCTCGGGGGCGGCAGCGCCGGGCTCAGCGACCTGGAGGGGAAAGGAGAGAGCGGGCGGTAAGCGGGGGGGGAGCACGGAGCAGAGCCGGGACCCCCACCACCACCCCGCGGCCTCCATCACCTGCGCCGGCCTCCATGGGTGCGGCGGCGGAGGGAGGGAGGGAGGGATGGAGCCGGCAGGGAGGGATGGAGGCAGGAGAGAGGGAGGGAGGGATGAGCGTCGCAGCTGCGTAATTTGCCTCTCGCTCCTCTGCGCTCTTAAAGCGACGGCAGCCCGGGTGCCCCCCCGCGGGGTTTCCCTGGTTTCTATGGTAACTCCCCCCAAAAAAGCAGGAAAAATAAAAAGTCGGGCTTCCAGACCCCTCCGCACCAGCCGTGCTCCCCCCCCCCAGCCCCGCCAACGGCGCACGTCCGTATAGCAAAAAAGCTTCGATTCATGGCAGCTGGAGCGGAGGATCAGCAGAGCGGGGCTGCGGCAGCGGGGCGAGCCGGGCTGGGGGCCGGGCAGGTGCTGTCAGTGCAACGGGAAACGTGAATTCCGTTCCGCGGTTACTCACGGTGCTGCCCGCACCCTTCCATTCGCAGCCGGCTGAACCTAACGATGGAAGGAGCCGCACCTGGGGTGGGAGGCTGAGCTCTGCCCTCCCCAGCAGGGCTCGCACCGATCGCTGCAGCCCGCCGGTGGGGGCAGCCCGGTGCTGCAGCTCCGTTCCGCTGAGCCCTGGGCAGCGCAGCGAGGTTGCAGTGCAGGAACCGACCTGACAGCTGCGTGCGTTGGATCCTACACGTCTGCATGTGCATATGGATTTAAGGGAGGAAACGGTTCGTGTGCTGGCGAGGTCAGAGCGGGACGTGTTCCTGGATCCAAATCACAGCCCAACCTCAGAGCACACCTGACCGAGAAGGAAAACCAAGCCCACGTTTCAGCCCATGCACATGTAAAAGCAGTGCCAACATGCTGGGCTTCCTCTGCAGCTCCTTGTGTGACTCCCCAGCCGGTTATTTTGGAATTCTGACAAACCTGTTTTGTAGATATGCTCGTCTTTCTTCCTCTGCTATTTACAGCAAGGTTTGCACCTCATTTACTCTGCCACACAGACTGCTTTCAATGTATGCATATCCTGCCAACCTGCCTCTGGTTTATTCCCGCTTGTCTTCTGCTCTCCTCCAGCCTCCTTTTGTGTCTCCAGTTCCTGGTGAAGCCAACAGAAGCCTCCTTCTCTGAAAGAGCAAATTGTCCTCGTGTCAGCTGCTGCCAGAGCTCCTCTCCCTGGAATGGCAGCAGCAGACGTGGTGCAGGCAGCAGCTCTGCTGCAACACACATTCATTTCAGGTGCCTTCGGGGGAAGGAACGGCTTCTCCTCGTCTCCCAAGCCTGTCCTCTGTGCTGTTTACCTCCTGACCCCTCGTGGTGTCGAGCACCACATTAGCAAGGCTGGGCACGCAGGGGTGTAACCAACACGAAGGCCTGGAGAGTCAGGATGACAGCATCATCCACCCTCATGCATGTAAAGATCACAGCAAACACCAAGATGAGGCCGGATCGAAGTGAGGCGGCACCAGTTTTGATCCTTCAGAACAAATACACAGCAAACATCATGGTCAGACTTTTATTGATTCCATAGAAAGAGGTGTCAGCACACCCAGAGCACTGGGATGTCCTGGAGCACCAAATGCACACAGCCATGCTTTCAGCACGTGGAAATTACCAACAGAATGGCAGTAGAGGCCTTAAATAAATCAGATAAATGTACAAAGGATCACTAACGTTTCTAACAGCCGTTTTTATGTTGGCCTGTGCATAAGGGGAGCTGTTAGTCTTTGTATAAATGTCCCACAAAATGCAACAGCGCTGGGGTTCCTGGAAGGCAGATTTCCTCCTGACCTCAAGGACAGCAGAAGTTTCCATCTCAACACACAACAGCAGCGCTGCAGGCAGTTGCTTGTTAGAGCTTAACAGGACAAGTATTGAACATTCTTTGAAATAAATAATTCTGAATAAATTCAAAGACAGCTTAAAGGAATTCCCTTCTCTGACCACGATACCTAATTAACACACAAGCTGAAAATAACCTAATTTCCAACACTGGACTCTAAGAAAGAAGAGCTTTCACCAAGCCCCTCATGCTGCAAATGTCTGAGGGGGAGCATGTATTTTAGCTGCCTATTATCAACAGGGTGAGTAACAGCTTTTTATAAACATACCTACATTGAAACTGACCACAGCAGCGAACAGCTTGCTCAGCAACGCCGCAGCCACGCAGCGGCACCAATTGGTGGCCGTGCGGTTCTGAGAGGGCGCAGGGATGAAAGAACTCTGCTCAGTCCAGCGTGGTTTGCTGAGAGTCCCATTTCTGTGCAGGGAAAAGAGAACAGAACGGCGTTTGGCTGAGCTTATCTGGCTGCTGTGGGATTTCAGTGAGCGCTGAACATTCGGCCGGCGGCGGCTGTGATGTCTGCAAAGGGAGCGCGCTGAACCAACTCAACGACCATCTGCTTCTGCAGGACAAGGAAGATGTAAAACTTCACTGCCACTTCTTTCCGGTTGTTCTTCTGACAGAGCTCCCGGAAGCTGAAGGAATTCACTCCAGATTTGTTCAGGTGCTGCAGGAGACAAAAAGAGAAGCAGTCGGGTCATGGAAAAGCAGAGCTCAGTAAGTCTGGATTGAACAGTGCTGCTCAGAACCACTATTTCCCGCCTGGAGGCCTTGAACAGGACCTTAGCAGGCATTTACACTCACACAGTGGCTCTTCACATTCGATTGCTGTAGTACTGCTGGCACCTACATATGTTACTAACATCTACACATGCCCACAGCTCCACTGAACTCAGTGAAACAGCACTGGAGCCCACGAGGAAGCCTACCTGTAATGGTTTTCGTGATGCAAAGCAATCAAAGTCACTGCATGCCCTGTCCTTGGGATGCAGAACACCAGCCACACCACAGGCAATTCCAGTTCCAGCTAACTCATCCCTATTGTTGCTTGGTTTTTAATGGCTGCACATATACATACGGAGTTCTTTATGGGTGTTGCACAGAACCTTTTGAAGATGTTCACATCATTAAACAACCAAGAAGGCTGCGGAGCCAAACTCAGGCAGTGGGGAAAAGCCAGGCTTGGGAGCAGGGTTTGGTGAGCTTTGCTTTGGCAGAAGCTCAGCAACAAGGTGACCCAGTGAGGGCTTGGACACTGAGTGCTGGGACAGCCCAGGCTGCCTGCCACGTTCCTGCTGGTGGGAGCACAGCATGTGGCATCACACAGCTTCACCAGCCCCGAAGTTCCTTCTGCAAGGAAGGCAGGATAAGCCCTGCCTGCCTTGCTCATGTTGAAGCATCTTGAAAGCTCTGGGGCATTAAAACCTTTTAGAGAAGGGGTGGCCATCTGCAGCACAACCCCCACGCTTTTCCATAGCCTTCATCTCAGGAAGAGCTCCAGCAGCTGAGCAGTCAAATGAAGGCACCCTGCGATGCATGGCAGAGATCCTGCAAGCCTGCAGGTGCTTGGAAGTTGGGCTTTGTGGGGATGCTGGAGAGAACAAAATATCAGTGCTACAGCAAGCACTGCAAACAAAAGTGCAGAGCATTTCCAATCCAATTCCACAGCAATTCCAGCAGCTGTGGGAGAATGAACGTGACGTCAGGCACTGAGAATCCTGGCTTCCTCCACCAACACCCCACAGAATGCAGTTACACTCTGCATATGACACAGTGATGCTAAGCAGTGGAAGCAGGAGGTTTTCTGAAACGGCCCAATAGAAATCAATACCTGGTTTGGGCTTCTAGTTTCAAAATCCAGCACTGTTACCTGTAGGGTTTTTAACACCTGAAGAGTTCTTTTGCTCCACTGAACCTCTTCGTTGTCTTTATTTTCCACTTCTCGCTCCTTGATGGGAAATACAACAGAAAGTTAGAAGAGAAACGTGTCAAAAATTGGTAGCACACCAAAACCCACTGTAAATTCATGGAATTGTAACTATTTTTAAGAAATATTCCTGTGAAATGATGCTGTTCTGCAGTGTGAGAACTGCCAGCTGTAAGCATACACACGTGTGTTATCTCAGCTTGCTGCACTGGAGCTTCTCGGCCCGTTGAATTATTCACCAGCACGGAGCTCTCAGAGAAAGCAGCTTCATCCTGCTGTCAGAACAGGGAGGTGCATCAAGTGGTGCTGCAATTTAGGCATTACTGTACTGTGTGACAACAATTCTGCTCAGTTCACTGTTACAAATACTTTCCAGAACAGTTTAATAGCTGCTGTTTCTACCACACCTCTTCTCACATGGGATCTACCCTCATTTAGGCACAAGCCTTGAATGTTCTCCTGCCATCAAGTCCAGTTTTGTCATTCTGTCAACTTCAAGGACTTCCATACACTCCTAAGTCCCCCCTTTCACATTAAAGATGGCAGAACTCCATAATTTGTTATTGCTCGAGCGTTTTCTCAACTTTTGACACCAAAGATAAGCATCACCATCTTTAGAAATGAAAAAGCATCTTTTGTTTACAATCAGGCTATGGTTCATATCCAGGTTCCAGCCATACTTAGTGATCCTACTGTAATCTATACCAATTAACAGACATTTTAACAGGCAGCTCCCTCGTTGTGAGAGCCTGCCAAAATGCTCCTAAATAAACTTTCCTGAAGTGAGAGGCTTTGCAAACCTACGTTAACAATTTCTTCACCTGTCTGAAAAGGAACCCCAGCACAAAATGGAGCCAGGAAGTACACCTGGGTCTGCAGAACAGAAGGAAACCACTCACCAGGGTTTCACCAAAGCCATTCACAGTTCCATTGCTGCTATTCCATGCTGCCAGGGCAAACAAATCATTGCCAGTTTTTCCCTCAGCCTCTGAGCAGTCCAACTCCTGCAGGTCACTCGACTCATCTGTTATCAGCACCTCTGTATTGACAAAGAAACACAAGGCTCAAGATGAAGCGACTGCTCACCTGCTCTTAAAAAAGCCAAACAAGTATTTTTGTAATTAAAACAGCCAGTTTTGTTGATGGTTGAAATGTTTTGACCTTTGATTTGTAGAATGCTGCACGCTGTGCACGTCTAAAACATCACATAAAACAGAGAGCATTTGCTAACAGCTAATTCTGCCACAGCAGAATTAAAACATTACCTGGGGCATCTTGCTCCTCCTTTGCTTCTTCTGTCTCCATCTGTGTTACATTTCTTCTCATTTCAAATCTACCTCTCTTGAAGCATTTTGCAAAGAACTGAAAGCAATTATTTTTTATTTGTTTACTGTCAGAATACAGTGTTAGATTATTTGCAAGCATCAAAGCAGAGGTCTGAAGATGAGTTGCACGTTCATCACCTCACCCCAGGATTTAGAGATTTGCATTGGGTCATTTCAAATCTGCACCTTTAAAAAAGGAATGGCCCTTTGGCAGCAAATTCTATGAAGAAATGTCATAGGAACAGCTAAGGAAAGAGCTCTAATTGTGCATCTGGACTCCAAGAGGTGAAGCTGTTCTGCCCCATGGAACCTGCTGAGCTGTTTGCCTGCAGATCCAACAGAGAGAACGCAGTGCAATTAGCACCAGGCCAGCACTGCACCTTTCTCCACCTCCTTGCACACCAGTCGATCTTTCTTTGTTTTATCATCATTCCTAAACGTGCAACTTCTTCAAAAGACCTGTCAGATAGCACACAGGGCATGGAAGGATTTGACACATACATTTCCACGGAGCAAATCTCTCTCCCTTGCACAAAAGAGCATTAAGGTCTACAAGCATGCAAGGGGTGTTCTGCCCTGCCCTGCTCACCCATGGGACACAGCGACCAGAACCCGTGGAGCACCTGAAAGGCAAGCTCTCCTGATCATTTTTAACTTGCTGGAGCACTGGAGATTGAAGCCAGGAGCTGCACAGATGGTCTTTCTGCTGAAGCAATTAGTGATGAGCATGCAAATAATCATTAGGTGTCCAATGGAACAGAGCTGTGACACAATACTTCCAGCAGTGCTGTGCAAACCCCTGGCAGTTCCATCCTGGATGTGCAACAGTCCCATCACCTACACACAGGCACACAAACCAACAAGGAAGAAACCTTTACCATTTGCAGCTCAGCATGAAACAAAAGCTGTGCAGGCTGGGACAGGAGTGTTTCCACTCCTCCTGATTCTTTCCACATCATTGTTTGTTTAGTTGGAGGTGCGAGGTCTAACGCAACAAGGGTGCCCAGGCTGTTGTTAAGCTGGTGGTATATAGCATGGCAGCTGAGCTCCTTGTCTGCATCCACAAGCAACTTCCTCTTCCTTTTATTGCTTTTCCTCTGGTTGAAATCTAAAGAGATCAAGCGTTCAAAAAACAAAAAAGCATTGACCTCAGAACACAGATGGCCACAAAAGGTTCCTCCCATCGTTAGCAACCTGTGATCCTTGGCCTCTGTTGCAGGCACACCTACCTGCAGTGCTGACTAGCAGAGATGGGGACAGCTGAGGACCCTCAGCTAATTGTCCCCTTCAGCCTCATGTTCACTGTTTGGAATTTCAATAGTCAAAGCTGAAAAGGATCAGCTCCTCCTGTTTCTGATGGAGGCCTGTTTTTCAACAGCCATTACAGAGCAGGCATTCACAAATAAGGTGCCATCCACAGAAAACTTAAGTGTGAAGAGAACCAGTGTGAGTAAATGGACAGCTGGAGACCTCCTGACTTCACAGAGCTGAAGAGGATGGCCTGTTCCCCCAGAAGTGTCTGTAAAGCTTCCTCTCTGTATTCTTGTACAGGAAACCCAGAGGTGTTTAATTACAGGAGACATGAATACTGCACTGAGGAATCAGGAACACAGTGACTTAATGAGAACACATGATACATGAACGGGACTGAGCAGGCTATCTTTAATCCACCAGGAATTAATTGTTCCAAGAACTGCCAGTGTACTCAACAGGTTTCATTAGCTTATAATTAATATCTGTATTTGTCAGTTTAATACTTTGGCAGTTAGACTGAGATGTGGATTGTAAACACAGAACAGAGCTGCTGATGGGTTGTACAACTGTAGCTTCCTCAACTTTGTCTTGGCAGGCTGGAAAATGCCAGTATTCTAAATATCATCAGTATGAACTCGTTCACGTGCTACCAGCCACCATCAGAATGGCTGAGACCTAGATTTACACACAGATGAAAGGAGACATTTTTCTTTTTTAATCTCAGTAAAGACAAGAGATCCCAAAGCCTCAAAGTATAAGGTTGTGGTTTTACACACATGGGATCATGGAGGTGTCACTGGCAACAAAAGCTCAGCTGAACTTCTGGTAGCACTGCCAGCAGAACTGCAGAGCAGCAGCATTTGGTTTGGTATGGGGAAGGAGCTGTAAGCAGAGAACTGGGCAGATCAGATAATACCCATCAACCTGGTTTTGTATGAGAATGAGCATAGAACAGAACTCTGACAGCAGGAGCAAACAAAAGTGAAGATAATGTTTTGCAAATATTTACACTAACAAGGAGAAAACCAAACCCAGCAATGCAAACAGCCAGCAAGAAACTGATGGAGTTCTGACCTGTATCATCAACTGGCTCAAGCACAAACCCTTCTTCTTCTTTAGGCAAAAGCATCGTTTCGTTCATGAGATGACTTTCTGTCTTCACTGCAGTGTCTGCAGGCTTGGACTTGGCTATAAGAACACCCAGCAAAAGATCCAGATCACAACCTTGTCAGGATGGAATGAATTCTCCACCTCACAACATTCAAGACAGCAAAGGAAAGCTCAGAATTTGCAAACTCTGATTCAGTCTGTAATCACAGTGACCTGAACCACTGCATCTGCACTGTTGCTGCTTACACTCTGCTGACACAGGACCCTGTTAGGGCAGGCAGTGAGACAAACTGAATATCAGCAGAGTGATACCAAACTGAAACAAGGCTCAGAACACCTGTGTGAATGGCTGAAAGTCACTTGTGGCTGAAATGTGAAGTGATATTGGCAGGTAACATTCAAAGTTACTCCGCTCGGTTTCCTTTTCCCTACAGAAGTGACATGACTGCCTAAGCTGCAGTGTGGATCTCAGGATATCATGCACCTGTGTTTCTAAGCGCTGTCAAGTTGTGTGTCTGGAATTCCTAGGTCCAATTAAATTATACCTAAAATGGTGAATGACACACACCAGGAAAGAAGGAAAGGAAACTAACAAAGGAAAAGGGCTCTGGGTGTTGATCCATGCACACAGAGCTGAATGGGAGTAACTGAGGCACTGGTACAGGAGCAGAGTTCACGTGAGGCGTGAGGAGGAGGTGCTGCCAACTCACCTGCTGTGCTGCTCTCCTGCAGGTCGTGTGACAAAGGAAGTTCTTCTTCCATATCAAGAATGCCATTAGTTAGGCTATTTTGTTCATCCCTCAGCAGGATTTCTTAAACAGAAAACACACAGTTGAATCATTCTAAGCAGTAGTTGTCATGCAGTAGCCTGACGTAGCCCAGTGTTACTTATAATAAATATAAACCAAATTACTCAATAATAAATACAAATCAAACGCATTTAACTCCAAAAAAGCCCTAAAATCTTTAGTTTGTACTTAGTGACATCTACGTGATCACAGATACAGTGACAAGCTGCAAAAAAACACAGCATAAAAACAGAAGAAAGAATTGCTGCTTGCAAACGCCGACTTTCAAGCCGTTTCATTTGTTCCCCTGCGGTAATAAAAAACATTTTGAAAGAAAGCGATTCTGTTTCTCTACCAATCATGTCTGCACCAGCCTCCTCATCCCCGAAGCAGTCCTGCTCCCAGCGGCGCCAGCCCTCACGCACAGCAGCCTGGTCTCCACTCACGCTTGCAGAGCTGCGATCGGCCACGAGGCTGCAGCTGCTCACCAGGAGGCTCACATCGAAGCAGCTCTGTTTCCTCAGCGCATCTGATTCCTCATCTGGACAAACACAGACAGTGTCAGGCTCCTCCTGTACGCCTCTATGGGAAACGTGCATTTCTCCACCTCCTGAGTTTTTCAACTAGCTTTCAAAGGTTGTAGGACGTCCCGTGCCTCACGTGGAATGGACAAAAGTCAATTTCATCTACTGCCAAACGTTGGGTTTGATTCCCTGTTTCCAAGCTCATTCTATTACTTAGGTAGAGTGCTGACAGGGAAATTTCAACGTGAGACCACGATAGGGCAGTCAGCACAAACATAAACAAATGCTCTTTTGGGGATAGGTTTTTCACATGAATTACTCACTGTACAACGTTTTGCATGAAACATACTTTTCCTTATGGAATATTTCTAATTTCTCAACTTCTCTCACCCAAGCTCCTATCACAGAGAAGTACATTGCTTTCATAATCCTCTTTAAGTGTGATGTCTTCAGCTCTGCTCTGATTCAAGGTAAAATGCTCAGCAACATCAATGGCACTGATGAAAGAAACATTATACAGAATACAGGATGAACTGAAACTCATTCACCATTTCACTTGACTGTGAAAACGTGTTGCTAACCAGTCTGCAAACCTGACATTCTGCTGAAAAACCCCAGAAGATAACTGCTTCCTATGGCATTGAAAGCACCCCACCTGATCCTCATTTCTGTGGAGAGAGAACAACTGGCTCCCAAAGCCATCAGCATTCAAGCTATTTAAGATTTGATGCACAAAAACCACTGCTTTGAGTTTCCTCTAGAAGCTCAAAACGAGCATGTGGAAAACAGATGCTGGCTGTGGGTCATGAGGGCTACCTCTAAGCAAGCAGGCAGCTGCTTTCTTTGCTAGCCAGGCCTCCTGTGCAGTCTCCAATGTAGGTTGTACAGTGGAGGCTGAAGCTGGAATGGTTGTAACCAAACACTACATAGGGAGAGGTCTGTGAATGAGGGGAAAGCATTCAGCTGAACGGACTGCAGAGCAATCCCCAGCCTGGCCCTCTGTGCCCAAACAATGCAGACGTGCAGCCAGAAAGCAATCTGCTCAAGGAGCAGTGGGCATGTCTGCAGGACAAGGGAAGCACCCGTGCTCCTCTCTCTATTTCCTAGTTCTCTACTCTTCTGCCACAAATCTGGGCTTGTGTGAGTTTGGCCACGCTCAGGCCCTGCTAACTACCAGGCACTTGTCACATAGAAGGCATCGAATTAATGTCCCACTGTCATCTTTACACCAAACCATAGGGATTCTTTGGGTAGACAGAAAAGGCAGAAAGACGTGGCATGTTGGGGTACTTGAATAAATGGAATAACTAGTATTGCATCCCAGCTGCACTTAGAAAATACTGAAGACTTATAGATGCCTTCAAGCTGCATTTATGGTGAGGTGCAGAGAAAATCTCTGTTCAAATCCACTATCCTGGCTCTTTTGGGGCATGGAAACACATCTTAGCCTTCTGCTTTTATCACTTTTTCTACATTAATGCTGATCCATTCCAAAAAGCCAAAGAAACACTCTGGCTTTTCATTGGAAGCAAAGCTTCCTAGAGCTGATAAAACAGCCAGGGCCCAAAGAGCAAGGGAGCAGAAATGAAAAGCATTTACACAGCAGAACAGTACGACACTGTGAGCCTACAAACCACTGGCTCCACGGTGTTACAACAGCATTCAGGCTTTTACACCTCCTCCAAGGACAGGAATCTCTTTGCAGGGTTCACTCAGACAATTGTAAATGAGAAAATCTGGAAGTGGGGGCTCGATATATTTTAGTGTTCAAGTTTGCTGGTTAAATGGACTTGGAGGAGCTCTACAAAAGCACAGTGTTGTGACTGCAGCCTTGTAAAGCTCAACTCGGGATTCAGAAGAGATCAGTTGTCAAATCAAAACAATCCCATGCAAGTCTTGATCAGATAACTGTAAGGATGTCTTTTACATCTGAAAACAGTGAAATAATGAATAAAAAGGAGGGAGAATTTACTTTAGATCAGGTAGAGTTGTTTCAAAATCATGAAATTCTTCAGGCAATGTAATGGACTGATAAGCAGCCTCACAGCTCTCTTCTGGGAGGTCAACAAGTCCTAAAGGAAACAGAAAAGGAAACGACATAAACAGCCATCACAGAGAAGTAATGTCCTCCCACTGTAAACCTGTCAGAAAGGTCTGTTGCCATCACAGAGAACAAAAAGCGTGGGCAATTTGTCAACAAGACTCCAAAGTGGAATGAAAATACTTAATTTGCATATAATTAGGAGCCATATTTTACAGAGAGACAGGGAAGAGGATGCTGCTGTTGGACACTGGTACAGCTCTTGAAAAACTGTAAATGCACTGTGCTTATGCATAGCTATGTGAAGTCACTATGGCTTCAAGTGGGTGACTGCTTTGTTTTTCTATCCAGGGTCTACATGACACTATTCTCCAGCATCAAATAATCATAACAACTGGCTGCAAATACCTAGCAGCCAGGGAATGCTGGAACAACTCAGGTTAGAAGGGATTTCTGAAGGTCACCTAATCCAAGCTTTGGCTTAAAACAGAATTAATTCTTAAGCTAGATCACTTTTGACTATTTCTGATGATGGAGAGTCCACAGAATCCCTGGACAACCTGTTTCAGCATTTTACTGCTGCCAGTGTGAACTGTTCCCCTCCTGCAGCTAGTTGGAGTTTCCCTTGCTGCAGCTGTGACCACTGCCTTCTGTTCATGTGCTGCACAGTCCTCTCCAAGCTGCTACAGCACCCACTAAAAACAGCACTGCATACTTATTGCAAGAGATTCTTCCAGTGGTTTCCACGTTCACAAATATTAACTGATCACAGTCACATCCTTGAAAACCACGCAGAGTGGGTGTTCAATATTCTGCAACCAATCTAGGTCACAAAGGACAGTGAGGCTGGCAGTGGATGTTGGTATTTTAAGTCTTTTTTTTAGACAACAGTGCCTCCCTATTTGTCACCTTAACATGGCAAACACACAGCCTCCCTGGAAAGGATTCCATCATCTCAGTTCCCTTCTTGCTAGCTTTGTGGCTAGAGCTCAAAACACAGTGAGATCTGGCACTAACAGGTTCTTAGACCTGTTGTTGGAGTCATCAGCGGTGACAATTAATTATCTAGCAATGGGAGCTGAATTCAAGCTGCTTCTTGTAGGACCATTTAAGATACTACTTCTTTTAAAGGAGTCAAATTGAAATTGCATTCAGTTAAGCCAGATTAACCATCAGCAGCATGCACCAATACATTCAGTGTCCTCTGAGATCAGTGACGTGTACGTGACTGAAACAAGCACAGTTAACAAAGCAGAAAGCAATGCAGGTGGGAAGGTGCAGATCCTGCACATACCTGGACGAAAGGCTGTCTTCATTTTCGTCAGAGCTTCACTGCAGTCTGCCAGGAGGTATTTTGTTTTCCTGTGGTAGATCCTCACCACTCCCAGCAGTAAGTGCCCAGAGGTGCGCAGAGCTATCGTAAACTTGGATGAGTTTAAAAGGTTGTTCAGCAGTTAATAGCAAAACAAAAAACAACAACAACAAAAAAAACAATTTAAAATGGAAATACTGCACAGTAGTAACAGAGTTCTGGTAAAAACACACCTGCAGAGAGCTTTGTCCTGTGACAGAGGATCAGAGACAAAGCAATGTTCAGAGCTAGGAGTTTCTAATTGCTTCTGCTCCAAAGCATTGCCATGCTGAAGCCTAAGTCCCAAACCAATTATGCTCGATTAATCATAACCCATGGAAGACAGATGATAAAATTTACTCTATCAAACAGGTATTTTCATAGGGAAAAAAATCCTGCTTGCACCAGCAGAAAGCCTCAGATCTCCTTCACCATCAATTAATGACAGTGCAAAATGTTCTCACTGTTCCCTTGGATGCAGTTGCAACTGAGAGGCCAAGGACTGAGTCATGGATACTGCCTGCATCTGTGCTTGAGTCCCAACTTCTCTGTGATACACAAAGGATTAATGCAGAATCTCTTATAAGAGTCTCCAATTGAGCTTATTTATGTACTTATCTGCTTATAACGGTGGGTCTGGAAGGAGTCCACTGAAAGTGCAAGGATAGTTATTATATGTCAAAAGTTACTTACTGTAACATCAGCAAAAAATAGTCCTCAAATATCTCTGTACAATTTTACAGTAGCTTTCTTTCTCCCTTGATTTTGGTGTAGTGGCTGAATTTGGTTTTGTTTGTTTGTTTGTTTGTTTGAGACAATTTCCTCAGGTCCTGTCAGTTCCCAGGCTGTGTTGTGCACCTGCAGCTCAAAATCTCTGAGGAGACCCCAGTGGCACAACACTGACACCCAGGGCCCCATCCGGCCTGGCCTTGAGTGCCTCCAGGTATGAGGCTCCCACAGCTCCTCTGGGCAGCTGTGCCAGCACCTCACCGCCCTCTGAGCAAAAAAATTCTTCCAGGTATCTAGCCTAAATCTCCCCTCACAGTTTCAAGCCATTCCCCCTTCTCCTATCACTATCAGTTGATCCCCCTTCCATTTGTAAGCTCCTTCCAAGTACTGGAAGGCTGCAGTGAGGACTCCTCAGAGCCTTCTCTTCTCCAGGCTGAAAATCCCCATCTCCCTCATCTCCTCATAGCAGAGGTGCTCCAGCCCTCTGGTCATCTTCACGGCCCCAGTTTAAATGCTACAATAAAAATGTTCTTATTCCATAGACAAGTACATTCCACAGACCTCCAAGAGTAAAATAACAAGCAAGACATTTCTATTACTATCATTTAATGGGATTGAGACTTATATCTGAGTCAGAACTGAATAAAATCAGAGTAGGGATTTGCCTCACGCTGGTTTTGAAGCAGCCACAAATGCTTCTTACTACGTGCTTACAGCAGCAATGGCCCCATTCCCTGCAGCACTCACACCTCAGGGCTCGCCAGGAGATGCTCTCCCGCTTTCTTAACATACCTTTGGCGAAACGATCTTTTTAATGGTAGTCTCTAAATTGCACTCGAAGATGTGAGCCTTGGTGAGCTTCTTCTCCCAGTGGGCAGCGAGCCAGATCTTGGCCAGCGGCCCACGCCTGTTCACGAGCAAATGCATGTAGAACATGGTGTGTGGGTCTGCTGGGATTCCTGCAGTGCCTCTGCCTGAGTTTTGCCTTCCTCCCTTGGGCTGCGAAGGTCCTGAGCAGAATGGCTGCTGGGGCTTCAGAGAGATCCGGAGCTGTGGGTTGGAGCTGACAGCACCTGAGGGTACAAGGAGAGACGTCATGGGGATGGGGAAATGGGGGGTGGGGGTGGCAAAGGGGGCATGGGGTGGGATTGTGTGAGTGCCATGGGAGGCGGGGGCACGAGGGGATGGGGGCTTTATGGGACCGTGAGAGGTGAGAGGGAGCACCTCCCATGAGATGGGGTGGGTTTGTCAGCCCTGAGGGGATGGGGGCTTCATGGGGCCGTGAAGGGACGGGGGACTTTGTGAGGCTCCCGAGGGATGGGGCTTTGTGGGGTCCTGAGGGGATGCAAAGCACTGCGGGGCCCTGAGGGGACGGGGGGCTTTGTCAGCCCTGAGGGGGTGGGAGCTTCACGGGGCCAAGAGGGGATGGAGAGCGCCGTGGGGCCCTGAGGGGATGGGGCTCCATGGGACTCTGTCAGCCTTGATGGCATGAGGGCATCAAGGGGCCCTGAGGGGACGGCGTCGCCCAGCCCTGCCATCAGGGGACGGGGTCTTTATGGGGCCCGGGGGGGGGATCCTAAGGTGGCAGCGAAGGGCTGCGGGGCATCACCGCAGTGCTGCGTTACCACGGCTGGAGGAGAGGCTGAGCGGGGCTGAGGGCGCGGCGCCTTGGCGGCGCTGTGGTGGCGGCTCCGCCCGCTCTCCCTCCCGCGCACAGCCCGGCCCCGCAGCCACAGCTCTCCCGCCCGCCCGCTGCCGCCCTCGGTGCCCTCATCCCTCCTCCACCCTCCTGCCCCTCTCCCTCCTCCCCTCCTCTCCTTTCGATTTATTTCCTGCTCTCCCGCAGATTTCGTCCTGCGTCTTGGCGGTGTTGTCTGACCTTGGCTGTCTCTCTCCTCGCTGTGCTCCTAGGCTGATAGCGGCGGTCTCCATCCCTCCTCTCTTTTCCCCGGGGATGCTGCAGCCTCACCAATCCGGGGCAGGATTTGGGGATGGGGTTTGAGGCAGCTCCCAGCTTGGCAGGATTTAGGGCTGTAGATTTGGGGCAGCTACCAGCCCAGTGCAGGATTTGGGGCTGCAGGTTTGGGGCTGCACATCCCAATCCCATCAGCCCAGTGCAGGATTTGGGGATGTAGGT